CTATTTGTGAGGGGTTTTCATCACCCTCATTATGAAAAGTAAGTAGAAAGGTATCTTGTAGGGATCAGACAAATTTATAAATGTTTATTCATTAAAATTATATTAATTAAAATTCAAATACAAAGTTAAGTGAGCGGGATCGGACTTTGCACTCAGATTTTTTAGTGAACAAAGCATGACTCTCATCACGGTCTGACTTGACCAAGAGTGTTTTTTACTAAAAATGAGGTGTTTAATACACTTTTTTAAAATAATATGGTTCCAATCCAAAGCAGTTCGGTCCCATGTGGTGTTGACTACAAATGAGGGATTGGTTTTACTGAATTTGAATAAATGAATTTTATCAAACAATTTCTTCTTGTGTTACTATACCGTTTATTTTAAAATAAAATTACAGGGATGACAACAGTGCAAATGATTAGCCATATTAAAGATAACAAAGGTGAATGGACATGCAAAGTTAGAGTTGTTGAGAAGCGGAACGTTAGAGACTCGAGGTCTAGTCCAAATAAGTATAGCCCTTATGTATTGCAAGATCATGAAGTAAGTGTTTTTATATCATAAATGAACTAAACATAGAATATTACAAAACCAGGCTTTTGATTATGTTAATTTGATGTATTTATTTTAAAATAATAGGGCACGAAGGTTCTCACTATGGTGAATAGTGGAGACATTGATCAAGTTAATCGAGTATTGGATATCCATAAAATATGTAAAATAACAAATGCTGCTATGATGCCGACTAAATACAATTTCCCATCACCATCTCCCAACTATAAATACATCTGGATGATTAGTAGACAGACATATATTGACCCAGTTCCAGATTTTGAACAGATTAAAATACCAGATGAGGTAAAAGAGATGCTGACACCATTTAATGAGTTTTACGGCATTAGTGCAAGTAAAACCCCCATAAGTAAGTCATTTAATTTCTTTTTCCCTATATAGATATACAGTTGTTTACTACCACTTTGCATCAGATCTGTACTTTTGTATACAAATTTCATGGCCGTTGTCATAGAAAAATACCGAGAGAGTACATCTTAGTTGGATTCACAGGAAAAAATAGCACATGATTTCACCATTTTTAATGATGAGTAAGTAATCCGCATGAAAAAATATTTAAAGATACACAGAATTAACATTTTGAATGATTGCTTGAATAGAATGAAGCTTATGCTGCTTACACTGTGGGAAGAGTTTGCAACGAACCAAGGGAAGGAAATCACGTCCCTCTTAGAAACTAGGCATTTCCAAATAATTATTGTAAAAAGGGTTAATTTTACTGCCTTCAATGGTAATATATTATTTAGCAAAGTTTATATACATAGAAAAAGAATTATTGAATTAACCGACAATAAGTTGATGTGGATTTCTAACAGGTGTTTCTCTTTCTTCTCGATTTGATGCAATGTTTGAAGTGGACCCTGCTCATACAACATTTGAATCCCTTAAGAAATGGTATGAACATACTCTTATGTTAAGAATAAATAGTAGAAATCACATTCATTTGAATGTAATACTTATAATAACACTTTAATAGGCGAGATGACAGCATAGACCTTTTCAAGAGGTTCATTAGCCTGAAGGCATATAAAGATGCTCTAATTGCACTGCACAAAGTTAAAACTTTCTGAGGTTTGCCAAGTGAATACCCAGGTATGCACCATGGTTGAGCATCGAACGACTGAAATTAGATATGTATTATATTTTCTTGTGTGGATTTAGTTTTAAATTTCACACTCCAAATTTAGGGCCAAGGAGTTTGGGTTACAGTAGATATGAGAATTCTCGATGATGAACCAAATTCCTACATTGGCTATGACTATTGTAATAATAAAGTTTGTGGACCACGTGGTGAGAAGAAGTGAGAATTCTCAATGATGAAAAGTTTGATGCTTAAAGAGAAAGGAGTATGATCACATGAGGCATTAAATGGTTATGGACACCATGGTCGGTCTAAACATAATATGTGCTAGAAGAAAGCTAAGATGTAAATAATATTTGATAATAAATAATAATAATAATAACAACAACAAAAACAACAACCTCTTTAAGAATATCAACAGTTATTTTAGAGTTAAGTGTTAGCATTGTTTTGATTTAATTTGTCCAAACATTATTGCGGCCATAGTTCGAGTGATGAACTAGGTTTTGCTTTACTTATGTATATACTCTGCGCGCACGTACGAGGTATATATTACAGAGCGAGAGGGATCCAAATGTAACCATGGGTTTGGGCGTAGCCTTCCCTTTTGAGGATATCCTCTTATCCCCATTTTTCCTTTTCAATTTGAATAAAAAAAGTCAAATTGAATTCTGAATATGAAGGTTATGAACAGGTATTTCAACAGACACTTAACATGTTCTCTCATGACATTAAAAAACCATGGTAGTTTCTCTTATCATAATCTTTTCATGAACACTCAATAATGTTGTGTGTTTCCGATAATACAATTCTACACTTGTTTTTTTTTCCACTTATTTCAGTATTTCCCTATTCCAGATGTTCGAAGCTTTACAACAGGTCCTTGGCATCCCGTTTGGATCGTACTTTGAGGTGCGTGCTATGCTTGTTTTTAATCTCTATTTGTGTATTTGCTTAAATTTACATATTCTTTTGAGTTGTTGTGGTTTACTAGCATCTAAATTTCATGGTTGTGCTTTGTGAACTGAAAATTCTCAAAATCTAGACAACAAGATTTTACAATTCAAAATGAAATACATTCGGCCAGAGTCTTTTTCATAGTTGATTCATGAACACATTGTAGTTAAGATTAAGATCTAGATGACCTTGAAGGGGCATATAAATTGTAAGAATGTACAACACACATGTAGATATTGACTGTACGGTGGGTAGGAGATGAAAGTTTTGAAGTGCAAAGTCAAAGTGCAGCACAAGATATTGTTGTGTGCATAAATTAAAAACAAAGGATGCTATAAACAAAGACAAAAGTCACAAAACTGCAGCATTGAAGAGCAAAGTCAAAGTGCAGCAAAAGACTTCTAAAGACCCTTGTTCCTAGATAGCCACTATAATGGAAGAGTTTTCTTGTTTTTGTTTGCTTATTGCAATTCTTTGGTCTAGGTTAGAACTCTTGTCGATAATGACATGAGTTATCTTTTCCCTAAATAAGTGTAGTTTCATGCTGGATTGGGATCAAGAAAATTAATATTTGGGAAATGATAGTTCTCTTGTAGCCTGCTGTATTGTCCGATTTATAATTTTTGATTTTTATCACACCCGTTCTCACACACTTGTAGATTTCTTTGCTTAGTGTAGTCACTAATTTATCTGCCTTTCTTTTGTATTTGTCCAGGTGAATGGAGTACAACAGCAAACTGATGTTTATGATTTCTTTTTGAGTCAATTCAACTTCATGCTCTGTTATTTAGTAGAACCATTATGATTTTTGCAGACTGTTTGACATCTTCTTGGAAGGGGAATGAAGATCTCATTATAGTTCATGATCCTCGAGAATATGGAAATTGTCGATTATCTCAAACAGTGAGTAACAATGAGCTCTTTATAGCAAAACATTCAAATTGTGTCATGTTAGGTGCATTCCTATCACCATTAGTATTCTTCCAATAATAATGACGTGCGACTGGGAATACATGTGCGTATCTGTAGATACCAAAGTATGGAATTTTCGAGAATGTGAACTCATTGAAGGAGCTAGCAGAAATGCCACATTGAACACCTGAGAGACCCTT